AATCATTAAATATCTATATTTAACGCTATAATAATAAGTTTGCAGACATTTGACCAAGGTCGCAGTTTCTTTGTCTAAATTGCTGTATATTTTTTTTGTATTCACATTAACTCTTTGTTATATTCATAAGGTTTTTGTGATCATTTCAATCATCAATTGTCAAACAAATATTAATAGTTATATTGTAGGCATTGAGTGAAAACTCTGAATAAATACGATTATAAAATTGATTTAATCGACAGCTGATACAACTCAACAATATTATCAAATGATTCCGCTTTTCATTAAAAACTGTTTAATCATTACGTAATTCTCAATAGTTATCAGTACTTGAATAAATTATTACATGATTTGACACCAAATTTTCAACAAAGAAATTCATTGTTATTCATAGAGTTACGCTAATATCTATTAAAACATTCAATGAATAATTAATTGGTATAAACGAGCACTTGATATAACAATTTGAAAGATATTTCGTAATATGCAATTTGATTAAAATAATTACAATAATTCAAATACCGGTATTATTTTTGAAATAGTTAAATCACAAAAAATAACAAGTCTTATGATAAGACTATAAATTGCTAAATAGTATGCCAGTACAAGTGCTAAAATAATTATTTTCCTTATAGAATAACATGTAAAATATTAATTAAAAAGAAAATTCATGACATGTATTATAATAAATGAATTTCGAGTTCAATAAGTACCGGTATTATTTTAATACTGAGTTTGAAAGAATTGATATATAATTTAATAGAAATGAACATAATTTAAGGTACAAAATAATGAAAATATCACTCATAGGCATGAGATATTGCAATTCGTGTGGAATATACTAAATAAATGCAATATTATGTACCGTATATACTGTACAGTAATTAATTCTATAAGAGATTTAAGTCCCGAATCTAATTGTGAATAAAAGCAAAACTCACGTATATTTGACTTCATTTGTTAGCTCGCAAACAATAGTGACTCCTTTAGGGCCGACACCTATTTTGTAGGGATCTTCAGAGTTATTGTTGAGTTTGACGAAAAAATATTCGACTCCAATATCTTCGAGATTTGCCACTTCTTGTAGAAACAGGTACTTGGCGTGCATTGGTTTCGTGGACTCAAGTTTCTGGTGATATTGAATAATACTATTCGTGAGACTCGAGAACTCAGTGCTATTGAACACTTGATTCAACGAAGTGGTTGTCCACGAGTTTGACTCCATATCACTAAATGATTCTTCATTTTCAGAGCTAATCTCAGGCCCGGAAGAGCCCGAGTGGTGTTTCCTTCGCTTGCCTTTCCTCTGAAGGGTCGGAGAACTACACAAAACTTCAGTCTCTAGTATTGAAAGTGGAATCCACTTCCGATATGACAGCAAAGCAGAGGTCACTTCGGAGTCGAAATCACCCGTTTCTGACTGTGCTATCAATGCTACCAATTTGATGGCTAACTGTCTATCAGTGACCCTCAAACGACCCTCTTGTAGGTCCTGAACAATACTAATGTAGAATTGGTGCCTAAATATCGATAATACAAAAATTATAATGTATAGTATTACTAGAATCAGAAACTTTACATATCATATCATAATTAACCATTATAATTAACCATTATAATTAACCATTATAATTAACCATTATATAATTTAGGTCTGCATTTAAAGCTCCAAAAAAGGATTTAATGATATTAGCTTAACAAGTGTTCACAAGTTAAATGAGTTTGCATTTTATAAAATATATTGTAAAACTTGTTTATGCTCATAATTTGCATTCAATGAATACAACTAAATGTACAAAAATCTATTTACGCAAACAATGGAATTATTAAAATGAAACTTAAAATGATAATCAAATGTAAGGTATATTGAAAATACGGTCAAATGTGATGAAAACAAAGAGCAAAATCGTTAATAAGTGTAAACAAGTTTGGATCCGAACTAACACTACAACCAACTTATTCAGAGGGAATCCAATTCTCAAAATCAGATTAAGAGTTGTTTATTATCTAAATATTATGTGAACCGTTAGTTTGCGCTCAAAATAAGGAAAATATTCTCAATTTTAGAGGATTAGAGATCGCTCTCAAGTCACGTAAACATTCAATATATCTATCAGTTTTAAGATTTTTAGTTCGACGAAAACTAATTAAAATAAAATAATAAAAACTCAAATAACTATACATTATATCTAAACACATAGTCCTTGACATAGTATGTATTTGTATTGTATTTGACTGAATCAATATACTGTACTCTATTAATGCTACATAAATTATACACTAACAATGTGTAGAATCGTATTGAGTATAACATTAATTGCTCGATAATAGGCAATAATGGTAATTGGCACTGGTATATGAATAATGGTGTGTATAGTAGTGGTGCAATACTGTACCTGGTCACTTCTTGGAGCAGCAGATGTGGCGGAACAAAGAACTTGACTTTTAATTGAAACCTGAGTGGAGTGTTAGCGCCAGTCATTTGTTGCTTGATTTGGTTTCTCATGTTAATCCACAACATTTCGCCCCTTTGGCCCATATATTGCAAACCAAAATAATCGACTTCTATGATACCCAACATCTGACACACCTAACAGATTACACACATAACTCAGTTATTAATTGCAATTCATTAACTCTATTACAAACTCTATCGTAAGACCACTTTTCTTTTTGGTCTTAACAATTAGATTATCGTTAATATAATATACAGATAACCCGTATCTCATCGCACAACACATTTTCCTCACATTTCTTACTTTTTCAGAAATACGCTAAAAGATTACCAAAAATGGATGTCTATTCACAAGTCTAATATCACTACCAATTTGTATGAGTTCTACTAAATTAATGTAAAAGTTTCTACAAAATCAATAGTCAATTGTATGGGTCTTTGACCGAATTTATAGCACTTCTTATTCACAAATAGTTTTAATTAACAGGAAATAACACAACTGTTTACAGTAGTGTCACAATAAAACATCCCTTTCTATCAAACAATTTATGAAAAAAAGAGTTTTGTATTCAAAGTTTGAATCATTTTTACTTTTGTTTCAAATGATTTAATGACAGGTTTATGGTGTCAATCAAGACATTAAAATTCAAACAAAACTATTGTGCTCTCAATACCGATTTAATAGCTTTCTCTACAAGTCTTTATGTTAACTATATTTAAAAGAAAATAATAAATCATATTTGTGTTAACAAAACAATTACAACATTTAAACACTTTCATCTAAATTATTTAGTTTCCAATTGATTAGTAATTTAAAATGTATATAATAGCTAGGCACTATTTGGCTATTAACAGTAAACTTAATGTTATGTTAAGTGTTTGTTTGGGAACCTTATATTGAAATGAATATAAGTGATAACTGTAATATAAGCATGGTAGAAATATGTCATTAATGAATAAAATGAGAGATCAAATGGATATAAATGGATATAAATTGAAAACAAGACTAAAGCAGATGTGATACGAAAACAAAGTGAATGAGCGAATGGGTTATACGGGGGAAGGGGTGTAGGGCTGGTATGACATACCTTATCGAGACATTCCTGTCCTCTGGCCTTATGATCGCACTCGACCTCTGCAGACATGAAACACAATGGCATACAATGAGACAATGGGTGCCTTGGAGTGGCAAACAGTGCTATAATTACCTAAAACCACATGATTTGGACACTTGATAAGACACAACATAGTGGACATGGATGTGTTGGATGTGTT